AATGAAGAACAAAATAAAATATAAATGATAAGAAAAAGAGAGGTAGACTTTCTGCAAAGGGGAAGGGGATCTAGGGATGCAAGGAGAGAGGAGGGAGGAGATGGGAAAAGCATGTAAAAAGGACTAAGATGCAACAAACATATTATCAACTCTCGAGGATCAATACAGTCATTATATATAGCAAACTGTGCTAATACAAAGCAGAACAAAGCACAAAACAAAACAAAACAAGAATGAGGTGCTCTAGTTTTCTTCTGAAACTTTAAGCTGACCACTCTGACAGCCAGTGACCCAAGCCACCTGATGCTGGTCAACCTGGCTCCATTTCCCTGGCCAGTTCAGTGCTGACTCCTATGAGCTGGTGGTTAGTTTGGTTCACAGTCCTTACTCCATTTCTTTGTATCATGTTTTGCCTCACTTACCAGCTTAGGAAACTGGTAGTTCTTAACTCTGATGATGGCACCTAATTTCACCAAGAAAACCCTTTGTGTCAAAGCAAGATGGTGACACATAACCTGTGGCCTGCTGGTATTACCATCACTATTATCTTCTGAGGGCTGATGTCAGGGAAAGGAATGAAGGAAGTAGATAATCAAATCCTCAAGTGAAGAAGAAAAGCAGCATCTGTTATAGGGGATGGATCCCTAACAGCATCGACTGACAGCTTTCCAACCCGGGGGCCGTTGGTAGAACCCAGCATCCAGGAGTGCTTCAGGAACATCCTATGTCCGGACTGCAAGCTTCCTGTGAGAGAACAAGCAAAACATGAATGAGCTGTGCTTCCCAGAAGCTGAGAGCACCAGAGCACTTCTGTCTCAGGAAATCAATCCTGCCAGGGTACAACAAGAAAGAAGAGGAAGGATTTCAGCAGGGATACTAAGAAGGCCAGAGGGAGGACTGGCACCCAATCCCAGTCTTCTGTGTTTACCCTGCTTTCAAATGGCCCCATTCACTCAGCCCCAGAAATAGTATTTTTATCTTTTTGTATATGTGCTTTCCTGAAGAGAGAAGAGGGAGATTTTTCACTTTCTTCACCCTGGGGAACTGGATTCCTGGGACTGTTTCCCATCCAGGGGTCTTCCATGAAGTGATCACAATTTAAATGGCCACTTACTGAGTTCAGGTGATGGACAAGAGAAAAAAAAGGCTCAGCATGTGTGATTCTTAGCATGCATACAACCGTGGTCATCCCTGATTTTCCCCGTCACTGATGACCTCTAGGTGTCTCCTGGGTTTTCATGCATCCTCTTTTTGTCCCCTCTCACTCAGCTTGAGGCTGAGATGTTGACAGTTGTTCAGTTCCCTTTTGTGTCTCCTCTGGGCCACCGTTGTCCTTTGGAGGGGATTAGCCCACTCTGTAGAGTTGACCTCCTTTACCTCCTTTCCTGGGGCAACCAGGAACCGGGGGAAGGAGAGAACGGCTTGACCGCTAAGCCTCTAAGCAGCATCGCTCTCTTCCTCCCCTCTCATTATAGCCCCTGAGTCGGTGGTGAGTGATTCAGAAAACATTCTACCATCAACTTGTTTTCCAACAATTCTTCTCTTTTTTCTTACTATACTGGGACTGTCTTCCTGCCTCCTGTTTTTCTGTTGTACCACTCAGATTTCTCTTTTATGTGAAATTTGCTGCTTTTTCAAAAGGTAACATTCTCGAAGTAAAAATAAACAAAAGCTGGTGTGGTGGCACTCACCTGTAATTGCAACTACTCAGGTGGCTGAGACAGGAGGATTATATTTTAAGCCTGGCCTCATTGAAAACAAAACAAAACCAAGAAAACAAAAACAAACAAACCTGGGGAAATGGCTCAGCACTCTCTGGATTACACCCCTGTTATTGCATAAACAAATGGAAAATGGATGAAGAAAAAAGAAATCAAGTCACTGAGTCAACTCTTGCTTTCATTCAATAAATTTCCATTATGTATGTAGCGTGCACCATGGAAGGACACACACACACACACACACACACACGATGCTGCCCACAGGGCCAACCTTGCTTCTTTCTCAGGTGGGCGCTGAGCCTGTGGGTGGCCAGGAGCGGGGTACAGTTTGGGAGGCAGTGATCTAGGTGCGCATAGCACTGAGAAGGGGCCGCCTGAAACTACAACGAGCAAGCCTATGTTGAGATCCTTTTCTGATCTCTAACTCTTTAAAGCCCCTCTGGGAGTATGGGATTCCCAGTCTCAGGAAAACTGTCTTCCCTCACTGACACAGAGCCACAGGCTCACACACTTGGTAATTTCTGCTTCTTACAGTAAAGCAGTGGTTTTCAAAGGAGGGTTATGTATTCAGAGTTTTATCCTCTCTTCTCCCTCACCACTCCCTTTTCAAAGACAATTGGCTGGAGGCTTTTTTTCTTGGTTCTGGGGATTGCAGGCAGTCTTTATACTGGATCCCTCCCTAACTCCTTTTTATTTTTAATTGTGGGATAGGGTCTTGCTAAATCACTAAGCTGCCTAAGCTGGCTTTGAACTTGTGATTCTCTTGCCTCAGCCTTCCAGAGTGCTTTGGTTAAAGGGAGGTGCCACCATTCTCAGCTGGTAGGAAGCATGTTTGATTATCATAACTGAGGGTGGGAATTAGAAAAGGGTGATTGTCACTGGCATTTAGAAATCAGGGATGGTGTCCCTTGGTGCGCAGCCTTGAATCACCAAGAATGATTTGGCTCAACATGTCAAGAGTCCTGTGGTTGAGAAATCCTGTTCTCAAGGAAAGGCCCTCTGACCCTCCCCTAATTGTTCAGTGACAGTGTAAGGAACATTAGTCACAAACTTACTACGCCAGGCATTGATCTTAAGCTTTTAGTGTATCAACACATGTATTTCTTCTAGCAGATTACAAGGTAGGTTCTAAATCATCCCCACTTTTCCATTGAGGTGAGAAAGTCCCAGAGAGGCTCTGTCATTGTCTGCAAACACCAGGGTCAGCATTTGAACCTCAACAGCCCGAGGCCAAGTGAATAGACATTTAACTTTCGTATCCTGCCTCTGGAAAACAAAGTCCGCTGAAGCCCATTTTCTCAGGTGGGATTCTTTCTCTCTCTTTGTGTTTTCTTCTTTCCTTTCTTTGTTCCTTCATTCCTTTCTTCCTTTCCCACTTCCTCCCTCCTTCCTTTTCCCTTTCTCCTTCCTCCTTCTCTGAATCTCTCTCTTTCCTCCTCTATCTCTCTGACTTGGGTGAACACAGAAACTCAGAACAGGCGGTAGAGAAGGGTGAGTCTCCACGATGTGTTTGTAATGAGTGTGCTCAGTCACAGCCTCTTGTATTGCTGCCCTGCAGTGGGCGGATGCTGGTAAGCACGAATGAAGGGGCACCTGACCAGACAGGACCTGAATTAACGACATTAATGACAGGGCACACCTTGTCAGGCATGCCACTGCCTCTTACACCACCCAGGCCAGTCAGCCCCTGTCCCCCCCAGCAGTAGGGAGTCAGCCCAGAGTCTCAGCCAGCCTGGGAACCCTTTGAAATACCATGCAGGAAATTTGTTGGCAAAGCCTTGCAGTGGAAACCATAAGCATATTCTAAATTACCATTATCATTAATCGGGGTTGACATGTAACTGCCCCCTTCTGAGTACTGCTCAATCACGGTCCCTTTTCATTCCTTTCTCAGAGATTCCCATAGGCCCCCTTAGAGTGAAGGGTACCTGAGCCTGGCCCGGTGTGTGGTCCCTGCGGAACAATGGAAGCAAAGTAATCCCTGACAGAGCAGGCTGGGACCCTGGACATAAAGCAGATATGGGGTGATGCCAGAGAGAGCCAGGGAGCAGCCGGGTGGAGGAAGGGGACGAGAGAGGCCGAGAAGGGCCCATGGGGGCCCGGAGGGCCAGTCAGTCAGTGAAAGAGCCCGGTTTGTGTTCCTGCGAGTCCAGGGTTGTCACTTTAATGGATTCTAAAGAGAGAGGGACAGATATGCTACCCTAGGAGCCTAGGATGCCAGCTGCATATGAGAGAACAACTTTAAAAGATTTTTACTTTTTTTTGTTTTAAAGAGAAGAAATAATAAAATACTTTCAAAACAGATGAGTAGGAGAGTAACAATAATGAATACTTTTCATATTGTTATCTTCATAGTAGTTACTCAAAGTGCAAGATATAGGCATGAAATACTGTCCATATTATCTTTCCTTTCGGTGAACTAAGAAACTAACTGTATAACTATCTTAACTCTTGTGTGTATCTATCTGTCTATCATCTATCTATATATCTATATATATATTTCTTTTCTAAGAGAAGAACTTTTAAAAAAGTCTTTCATTTAGGAAATCTACAAAGTATGATCAAAAAATGTAGTGAATGTTTAAATTAAAAAATGTATTACAGCAAAAGACACATTACCATTAATTCTCCTCAAAATCCTCAAAAATCCACCTAGCTTCAAACACAGTTATTTCATTGTTCTTGGCAATGTCTTTTACTGTAAGTTTTTCTTTAAAAGAAAATTTGAACGCTATCATACTTTTGGTCATCCTTATATGTATAACTTACGTCTTTCGAGCATTCTCTTATAAAAAGTAACAATTAGGTTCCAGGTTTCATTTATCTTGCACTATACATGGGGTATAAGAATTGCAAAAAAGACTGTATGTTTAGTCTGGATAATTCATGGATTCATTTATGAGGTGTGATAGAAACATAAAGTGAATGCTTAATTTAAAATAATTATTCCAATAGAAGACACGTGACTAATCCACCCAGATGTCCCCCCTCACTTCAGACGTACTTGTCCCGTCCTTTTTGGTGCTCTCTGCAGCTCTTCTGGAAGTCTTCTTTCCTGAATATGTTTCTGAGGCACGATAAAAAATACAGTGAGGGGCTGGGGATTTAGCTCAGTGGCATAAGCGCCTGCCTTGCAAGCAGGCAGTTGTGAGTTCGATCCTTGGTACTGATAAAAAAAGAAAAAGACAAAAAAAAAAAAAAATACAGTGAATGCTGCTTCCTTGTGCCAGCCAAGAGAAAAATAGTCTTGTAACAACCCTGTTATCCTTTCTTCACCAGATATGGCACCATGAGACTTCTGGTTCTTCCCCAAAGTCAAAATGGCCCTGAAAGGTAAGTGTTTTGAACAGGACCTTGAGGCAGCCAGCACAGTGCAACTAAAGATATTCATAAAAGACGATGCTCAGTACAGCTTCAGAAAGTGGCAAGAAGGACAGGATAAGTGTGCTGAAGCCTGGATGATTATCTCAAGGAGGATTAATGGCAATGTGTCTGTTACTGTAATAAATATTTTAAAATGTAAACATTCACAGTATTCTTTAATCACATTTCACCCATGACAAATATTTATTGAGATTCCATTAAGCATGAGGAACACAGCAGTGGCCAAAACAGGAGTGGCAATAAATGCCTTTATAGAGCTTTTATTCTAGAGGGGGACTCAGAGGACAAAACAGCATCATAAACATTTGACATCTGACCATGAAAAAACAGGATCCACCTATGGAATGGGAGGGAAGTACATCTGATGAGGATGACATTCAGAATATATCCAGAAAATACTCCTACAACTAAACAATAAAAGAATCCTGGTTTTAAATGGGCCCAGGAAGGGAACAGAAGTTTCTCTAAAGATGCTGTCAACACAGGCAAAGACGCTCAACAGTACGGGTCAGTAGGAAAGCGCCAATCAGAAACACAGTGAGACAGCCTTTTACACACATCAAGATGGCTGCTAACAAAGACAAAACAGAAAAGAACAAATGTTGGCAGAATGTGGAGAACTTGGAATCCTGTGTGTGGAGGCAGAAAGATAAAGAGATGTAGCCACAATGGAAAACAGTATGACAGTTCCTTCAGAGAGGAGGAGTAGAATTATCAAGCCAGGCACAGTGGCACATGCCTCTAATCCCAGCTGTTCGGGAGGCCAAGGTAAGAGGATTGCAGTTTAGTGAGACCCTGGGCAACTTAGTGAGACCCTGTCTCAAAATAAAAATTTAAAAGGAACTGGGAATACAGCTTGGTACATATTAGTGACTGATATGTGTGAGTCCTTGAGTTCAATCCCCACATCTGCAAAAGAAAGAAAAAGAAAGAAAAGGAAGGGAGGAAGAAAAGAAAAGAAAGAAAGAGAGAACTATTTACCATATAACTCAACAGCTTCAGTTCAGTGTATTTACCCAAAAGAATTGGAAGCAGAATATCAAAGGGTTATTTGTATATCTGTGTTCATAGCAGCCATTGACAAGAGCCAGTGAGAATGACTCAGTTACAGGGTCTAACGGTGGAAGCAGCCCTGATATTTGTGATGAATGACAGACGAAATGTAGGGATCTAAATAGAATATTGCATAGTCCTTAAAAACAAAGCAAATTCTGACACAGGTTCCAACATGGTAAACCTAGAGGCCATTATTCTAGTGGGAAACACCAGTGGCAAGCTTATATGGGGTTTCTTGAATAGTTAGGTTTATGAAAACTGAGTATAAAACTGTGCCAGAGGCTGAAGGAAAGACAGAATGGGAAATTGCTGTTCAATGGATAAAATTCCAGCCTCTTACTGGGTGGAAAGAGTTCAGCAGATTGGCTGCACAACGATGTAAATGTCCTGATACAGTGAACTAAACACATCCAAGTGGTTAAGAGGGTAAATTTTATTGTCACACGTAATTTACCCTCATTCAAAATAAAGAAGTCAGTAAATGATCACAGTTTGTTAGAAGGTAATGAATGTACTGCTGACACAATGTGGCTAAGTGACAGAGGATGGATCTGCTGTGCCTTGGGGTTAGCCCACGGGGAGAGGGACTTAGGAGCCAAGACTTGACAGTGGTGAGGCACAGAGCCACACGATCATGGGGAAGAGCACCTGAGGCAGAGGGCACAGCCAGGGTGGATGTCTTCAAGGGACAGCAAATGAGGGAAGACTGAGCCAAGTGAGTCAAGTTAGAGAAGGGCTCAAGAAGCCACCGTCAGGAGTTGGCTTTTATCCCCGGAGGGTTAAGTCACTGGAGGACTGACCAGAGAGGGTCAGTGTTTTAACCTCGTGGCTGATGTTTCACTGGGATGATTCCATCCGCTGTGCAGCTGAGGGAGGGTAGGGGCAAGACAGGAGGCTGGGAGACTGCGGAAACTGCTGCATTGACCCAGATGACAGGGTTCTGGTGACTTGGAGCCGGGTGGGAGCAGTGCAGGCGTGAGAAGTGGTAGATTCTGGGTTAGCATGGAAAGTAAAGTCAGAGTTCCTGATGAATTGGAAATGGTAGATGAAAGGAGAAAAAGAAAAATCAGAGCTGGTGATATAGCTCAGAGGTATAAGTGCCTGCCTGGCAAGCACAAGGCCCTGAGTTCAATTCCTGGTACTCCTTCAAAAAAGAAAATCAAGGATGACTTGGAGAATTTTGTCCTGAGCAATCAGAAGAATTATTGTTAACTAAAATGGGCAGAGTAGCAAGGGGACTGGACTTATTTTTGGTGGTGGTGGTTGGGAGCAGGTGTTTGATTTTGACATATTATGTCACAGATGATAATCATAACGGAGACATTGGTGGGTGTGTGGATCTGGTATCCAGGGGACAGTCCCAACTGCAAAAGTCTTGGGGAGTCATCAGGGGGAAATGGTATAAGTTGAAACCCGTGGATCTGGAGGAGGTTGCTTTCAGAGTGGGTATAGACTGAAATTTGGGAGGCCCCCTAAAATGCACCCAGGATCCTGTTACCAGCTCCAGAGAAAAGGAGCCCCCAGAAGAGAGACTCAAAAGCACTGGTGGTTGGTATCACTCTGAGCCCATGGTAACCACAATACAGCAGCCTCTCCAATGGAGCAGAGTCAATGTTGGAGAGGACAGTGTGAGCCCCAGAGGGAGGGAATTACTTACTCTGATCATGTAGCTAGTCATTGGCAAAATCAAAGTAAGTGCTTTTCACAGGAACCTAGCTACTTAGGAATCAGAAACAGAGGTCTAATTTTAAGAGGCAGGAGCCAAATCTTCACTAAAGTAGAAAAGTTCTTTCTTTGAAGCTCCGGTGTATCAGTATGTAATTAGGCAGTACATTACAAATGCTATAAAACTGATGATATAAACAAAGCCGAAGATAAGAAAAGTTCATCGTGGGTCCTGGTGACTTCATAAGGCTGAGTAGTTAATAAGCTGGTAGTGGTGATAGGTTTAGCATTCAAATCTGCTTGTGTAGAGACATTTTCTATTGATGCTTCCCATTTACTCAAAGCTCCTTTTTAATGACCAAACTCACCTGAATATAGAACCTGGAGGAATTGTGCATATTCATGTTAAAGAATTTCTCAAAGTCCACCAGATAGGGTAAATAGTATTTTACAACTAAGTGTTAACCCTAAGAGATGCAAATTGCATATTTTATGGCAGTCATTTTAGTACAGAACACCAGAGCTTAACACTTTTTTTCCTCATGGTATCAATTCAGTGGCATTCTTAATAAACTACACTCTTCCTTGATCCGGTCTATTTTCAAAAACACTTTAAAAATTGACCTCGGGAATGTTTTAATAACATCCCAGTTGTATTTTCCCATAGCCTCGCTACATTTTTGTTTTCTTCTTTCCCTGAAGCTACTTTATATCTCCCTGTTCATCGGTTTAGATTTTCAGTAAAACTTGAAAAAGGAAAGAATAAAAAAGCAAAATAACCCATAAGACCTTGATCATGAGACAGCCACATTTAGTGTGTTTACTTCTAACTCGATTTTCCCGTGATCTGAGGTTCTTTCACTGGCTTCGGAGTTTACAAAGCCAATGTGTTTAGGTATGTAAAGTGATAGAGGAGTTTCAAGAGCAGGATTTGAGGAGCATAGGAACTTCCTCCTATGCCTGCTTCTCCAACACACACACACACACACACACACACACACACACACACACACACTGACTGTAAGGGCTCTGGAGAGGGTCCTAAGCTTTGTTCTTTAATCACCAGGAAAATGGCAATAACTCAAGACAGATTGCTGGGTTTGACAGCAGAAGAGCCTGTTCCTGATTCTAGGTGGGACCTGGGGAAGTGGTAAAATCACAGAGTGGAACTGTGGGTGTGTCCATCCACCAAGGCTGAAATCAGTCTCTTAAGTGTCCTGCACCCTACCATGGGTTGCAAGAACCTAGATCAAAGTTGACCGTGGCTAGAAATGAGGGTCGCAGCTGGATTCTGGGGTAGACCTTCCACTTTGCCTATGTGCTCTGCTGATTCTGAGGAGGTAGCCTGGGGCAAACCTCTGGATTCTTTTGTCATTGGTATTGTTGGTACCGGGGATCAAACTCACAACCTCATGCTTGCCAGGCACATGCTTGTGCCACTGAACTAAACCTCAGCCTATCCTCTGGATTCTTAAATTTTCAGCACTCTGAGGAATATATCTCAAAAGAAAAGTTAAGTTGTCATAGAAACAATGTTCTTTTACCTTTGAGTTTGTCTAAACCTACCTATTGATCATCCTACAGACACATTTTATCCTGATTTTTTTTATTATCTTCAAGATCATTTTAAACTTCTTTTTTATTTTTAAAATTTTAAATTGTTATTTAAAGAAAGAAAGAAAAGAAAATTTTAAAAAAATAGAAAAAGGTAGAATAATGCAGAATTCAAAACAAATTAACACCATAAAATTGCTAGTTGATACATCATATATTGTCATCTTAAAAATAGTTGTTAAAGTTACAAAATCAAAGCATAAAAAGTGGCTAGATACTCAAACATTGACAGTGCAAACCCTTCTGTTCAATGATCTAACATAAATTTAGTAATATGATCATTTATCTTACACACTATACATACTGTTGTATCCTTTAGTGCACTTTCCTTCCCTTTCACTTTTACAATATCTATTATACTTTTTGGATCCCATTATTCTGTCAGTTTTTATTATTTTTTTACAATAGACTGATATTTACTAATGTGAGTCTTATTTATTTCACTAACAAGGATATTCTCAAGTTGCCTCCATTTACCTATAAAGGCCTTAAGATCCTCCCTTTTAATAGCTGAGTAGTATTCCATTATAGAAAAATACTACATTTTTTTTCATCCAGTTTGTGGTTGATGGGCATTTTGGTTGTTTCCAAGATTTAGCTATCACAAATTGTGC